AGAGACGGGGTTTCACCGTGTTAGCCAGGATAGTCTCGATCTCCTGACCTCGTGATCCGCCCGTCTCAGCCTCCCAAAGTGCTGGGATTACAGGCTTGAGCCACCGCGCCCGGCCCACTCTTTGTATTTTCAATGATGATTCTTGAGATTTCAGTGAGTCTTCAGGTGTCAGTGAATGGAATGGCTGAACATAAAAAGGCTTCAAAACTTGTGATACTGTGAACGTAGGATGTCAGTTCAAAAGAAATGATGCCGTGACTGTAGGGTATCACTGAGATGCCAGTGATAACCTGCCCGTGTCACATGTTGACTCTTTTCTCTCTTAATTATAGGTGATCATGGAGCTCAGCTTGGTCTCCATGGGGCTGGTGGTGATGGAATACATGATGACACAGCAGGTGGAGAGGAAGGAGAAAACAGCCCAGATGCCCAACCCCAAGCCGGTCGGAGGACCCGGCGGGAAGCATGCACCTGCCCCTACTGTAAAGACAGTGAAGGAAGGTGAGTTGACCCAGCAAGTTTCTTACAAATATGAAGAAAAAATAATAGGATTTGGAGGAAAGAGGAAGAAGGTTAATTTTTTTTTTTTTTTTTGAGACTGAGTCTCACTCTGTCTCCCAGGCTGGAGTGCAGTGGCGCCATCTCGGCTTACTGCAACCTCCGCCTCCCGGGTTCAAGCAATTCCCCCTGCTTTAGCCTCCCAAGTCACTGGGATTACAAGCATGTAATCCACACCTGGCTAATTTTGTATTTTTAGTAGAGATGGGATTTCACCAGGTTGGTCAGTGAACTCCTAACCTCAGGTGATCTGCCCACCTTGGGCTCCCAAAGTGCTGGGATTACAAGCATGACCCACTGTGCCTGGCCTTGGGTTTTTTTTTTGTTTGTTTTTTGTTTTTTTGGGTTTTTTTTGAGACAGAGTCTTGCTCTGTGGCCAGGCTGGAGTGCAGTGGTGTGCGATCTCGGTTCACTGCAACCTCTGCCTCCCGGGTTCAAGTGATTCTCCTGCCTCAGCCTCCTGAGTAGCTAGGACTACAGGCATGCACCACCATGTCCAGCTAATTTTTGTGTTTTTAGTAGAAATGGGGTTTCACCACGTTGGCCAGGGTGGTCTCAATCTCTTGACCTTGTGATCCACCCTCCTTGGCCTCCCAAAGTGCTGAGATTACAGGTGTGAGCCACTGTGCCCAGCTTAACTTTTAAATTTTTTATAGAGATGGGATTTCCCTGTGTTGCCCAGGCTGGTCTCAAACTCCTGGGCTTAAGCAGTCCTCCTGCCTTAGCCCCACAAATTGTTGGAATTACAGGCGTTAGCCACTGCACCCAGCCTAGAAGCCTTTTTTAAAATTTAATTCAATTTAATTTTTTTTGAGACTGAGTCTCGCTCTGTCGCCCAGGCTGGAATGCAGTGGCGCAGTCTCGGCTCACTGCAAGCTCCGCTTCCCAGGTTCACGCCATTCTCCTGCCTCAGCCTCCCGAGTAGCAGGGACTACAGGCGCCCGCCACCACGCCTGGCTAATTTTTTTTCTATTTTTAGTAGAGACAGGGTTTCACCGTGTTAGCCAGGATGGTTTCAATCTCCTGACCCTGTGATCCGCCTGCCTCCGCCTCCCAAAGTGCTGGGATTACAGGCGTGAGCCACCGCGCCCAGCCCCTAGAAGGCTTTTTTTTTTTTTTTGAGACGGAGTCTCGCTCTGTCACCCAGGCTGGAG